TCTAAACATTAATTATGTAACATTTTACTCAATTAATAAAGATCACGAGAAATGCCTCACTTAACACTTTAAAAAAAGAAATAGTTGTTAGAACTGTTTTTTTTTCTTTGATAATTATAAGAATTTATAGTACTTGTACTGGAAATATTTTCTTTCTTATGATAGGTATAGATACTTATAATATTGCATATATTTATATCTTTTGAAATAAAAAAGTTTAAATTAATAAATATTAATTAATCATCCTTATATAGATTTTGTATAGATGATTGTGATTGATTGGTTAACAGTTTTAGTAAATTTGATTGACAGTTTTTTAAATAATATTTGATTTTTAATTGGTTGGATATTATAGTTGGTTAGAATATTTGATTGATAATTATACTAATATTTGTTTAACCTGAAAACTTATTATATGGTTTTGTTTAAGGCTTTGAAAAGTATCAAACTAGTATCAAAATGGTATCAATTTATAATAAATTTAATATATGGATTGTAATTTACTCATATAATTTTATAGTAAATTTAGGGTGGTAGGCTGACATGTATAGCAATGTATCTTACATCTTAATATTAATCATGTAACAATTCATTTTACTATATTAATAAAGATCGTGAGAAATGCCTCACTTAACATTAAAAAAAAAAATTTTATAGTAAATTTAAGTATTGAACTGATATCAAAGTAGTATTGAAGTGATATTGTTAGGAGTTCTAGTTTTGTCAATGAAACAGTTTTGTTAATAGAAAAGGATTGTAAAAAAGATAATTTGTTTGTTTTTTTCAATTGATATGATATTATAAGAGTAAATAAGTTTGTTTTTTTATTTATACTTTTATTAATTTAAATTATATTTTAGAGTATATACTTTGAATAATTCTAGTTTTTTGTCAAGACTCTTTGAAAGATTTCATTTCTAAATTAATTTTTGCTTATAAATATTTTTTGAAGTGAATTGTAGAAGTTTAAAAAGCTATTAAGAAGTTGGAAGTGCTTTTTTGTAAGAATAATGACCTGTGTTAAGAGATTTTTTGATTCTTAAAAATTACAAATTTGATTTGAAATACTATCAAGTTTGCAGAATCTAGTCCAAAAAGATTTATTATAGAGATAAGCAACTTAATGAAATAATTCTTAAATAAAAGAGTTGATATTATTTTAGATAGTTTTGTAAAAATAATTTTTTGTTTTCATTTTGATATATTATAAATATATAGTAGTAAGTTTTATTTATAAAGATAATATTTAAAAGTAGAATATTATTATTATTGTTTGTATAGAATATTGTTATTGATGAAAGGTAAAATTCATTATTTAAAATTAAGCTTGGCTTTAGATTTTGGTTGGTTATAGTTACTAGGGTTCTGAAAAGTATTGAACTGGTATCAAAATGATATTAATTTACTTATATGATTTTATAGTAAATTTAAGTATTAAAGTGGTATTGAAGTGATATTGTTAGGAGTCTTAATGATTACTTGGATAACTTAAATTATTAATATATTTATTGTTAACATGTTTGTATAGCAATGTCTTTATTGTTATTATTGTTTATACTTGTGAGATATGTTTATGATATTGATATATCTATACTGTTGACATGTTAATATTGTTTATTTGAACTTATTTTGATTTGTTTAACATGTTGATATTGTTTATTTAAGTTTATTTTGATTTGCTTAACATGTTTAAAATATCAATTACTTGTTAAGGGTAAATTGATTTTAGTTTTTTCTTTCCAGTTGAAAAATTGTTATGTAACTATGGATAGTTGATATTGATTTATTGATATATTATTGTTTATTTTTTTGAATCATTTAACTTGAATTTCTTTAGAAAAGTTTGACATCTTTTTGTTTTTTGTTTAATATCTAAATTGTTTAATTTTAAGTAAAATTTGATTAACAAAAATTTTTCTGATATCTAGGGAGATACAGAATCTTGTACACAACTGGCTAGAAGCTAAAAAAATTGATGTTGACTTTTCTTTGAGCTTATTGTGAATTGTAATACTTGTGTTTTTTTTTTTTTGTTGTAAATTTTATTTATTTAAAAAGTGAAGAAATACTTAACAAGAAGTTATTAGTAGCAAATATAATTCACAAAATAGATTCATCTTTTTGAACAATTGTTTTGTATTTTTGATTATGGTTTTCTATGGTTTTGTGGTTCTCTTGTAGTTAAAGATGATTTTTTGATGGTGTTTTCAAAATTACAAAAAAAAACAAATTTTAAGAATTTGGTAATTTGTAAGAAAAAGTTTTTTTTTTTTAATTTGGTAATATTATATTATATTTATTATTATATTATATTATATGTACAGTATTATTATTTTTTTGATCTATTTTTTGTCTTATACTATATACAAAAATTATAAAAACAAACTCTCGTGATAATAATAATTCTTATGGTTGTTTTTATGATTTAATATTATAAAAAAGTCCAGTATCATAAATTGTTTAAAGCATAACAATAAAATAAAATTGTCAAATTGTATAACTTTATATATTAGTTATTAATAAAAATATGGAAAAATAAATTTGCTTGGGTTTTTATAAACATAAAAGAAAAATTGAATTTCGAGTTACAAGTTTCCGGTATCTATGGAAAAGGAATATGACATGTATATAAAATAATTGCAACAAAAGATAAGATAAAAACATGTACGGCAGATACATTTGCTTCTTTCGAAAAATTATAAAAAAACATTAGTATACAGTATTATCGCATCACATTTTATTAACACTATTATTTCTCATTACAAAACGTTGATATTATTTTTAAAATGTTGGACGAATGCTTTGTAATGAAGTATTGACTTTTAAAGAAATATTTACTTGAAATCCAAAACTATAAAAAAATATGCAGTATAATTATTTACCGAAATTCAAATTTTAGTAAGTGTAAACTTAATGATAATGAACAATTAGTATTTTGATCAGAAATGGGGCGCATCGGAACTTGTTTGTACCTGATTCATTTACAGTATGCAAGTATAAATAAAAAAAGTTGATGGAGGCATGGAAAGAATTAAATTCCAAACTGATCGTACCATAAATAACCATCTAGGGCGTGAAACTATCAGTGGGCTGTGCAAATATATAATCTTATGAGTTTTCTGACTGACACGATTGCCGAAGTCACCTTTTCTTTGCGATAGGTAATTATAATTTGAATTCTATCAAACACACAAGCAGTACCTTGAACAATTTCGGACCGATTACCTTAAAATGTTCACAAATTCTCAAGCATTATTGACAATCAATTCTTATTACTCTTGTTAGTGGTTTGGAACGCTGCAGGAAATGGAGTCAAACACCGAAGATGAAACTCAACGAACTTCAATGCTGCATCCGCACGAAGAACGATCGTCATCAAAACGATTCTTGAAAAAATTTGGATTTCACAAGAGTAAGAGAGTGTGTTGCAAGAATATTTGGTTGACCGAGGATTATGAACCGACGTACCTCTTCTGGGCTATACTTTTTAGTTCCTCGATCCTCCTCATGGCTGCTTTTGGTATGCGAAATTTTTGCGTCGTTCTTTGATATTCTTGGAAATGGTTTTCTCTAATAATTTTCAATGGGAATTAGCGATTTACATTTTATGTAGCGACTACTCCGGTAACATAGGTTATTTCATTGTTAAAGATTGTCCCAAGTCCGATAGCTTGCCGTGCATAAGTGGCTATGTAAGTTTTCATATATTCGATTGAACTAATGTGTTGGGTAAAACTAACCATTTGATTTTGCTTCTCCTAAAGCATGTCTGCATGAAATATGGCAATTTCTGTCTGACATATCATTGTTACCCGTCTGACTTTGTGAGTGATTTGTTCTTGAGTAAAAATTTATTATTCATCACGTTCTTTTTTTGATCTTAAATTAATTACCCTGTTTTTGTTTTGTTTTATTTTGTTTTGAAAAATCCTAAAAGTCTTGTGTATAACCCCCGCACCTAGCCTTACTCAGCCACATCACCTCCGGGAATTGATCGTAAATATTGAATGTATATAAGAAGAAAAAATTTTTTTTTGTATTAACCAAATCCCGTTTCATTATGTAGCATCCTTTTTTTTTTTTTTATCATAGATTAATGCAACACACATTACCAACTTGAGTACTGTATCAGTTCAATCCTTTTATTATTGTATTTCTATATCTGCAACTCGGATGGTTCTGGTATTTTTATGTCACCAGCCATGCATGTACACTGTATATTCTTGGTTCGAAGTTATTCTTTCATGTCGATGTCATTCGCTTGTGGGTTCATTCCCGACAGAAGTATTGCGTTTAAAATCATTAAAACCACGATACATCTTGCAGAGGTGTACGTTTTATTCTCAATCTTATCACAAAAATTTTTTTCTTGTATTTTAAACGAAAAATATACAAAAAGAAAGCGTTCATGAAGGCATAAAGGATAAATGAACAAATCATCGGAATTCCTAAAAGAAATAATGAAATTTAAATTTAGTTTGGAGGGGAGATTAACAATAAAGAGAGGGTGGAGTGGTGTGTTGCTCCATATCTTAATGATTCCAGAAAATTTTAATTGGGAGTTCATTTTTTAAATGTCACGCATATTTTTAAGATTTGGTCTCCGTCTTAACTTTCTTCACAAGCTTGTCGGTATTACGTTTCTTTGGTTGAAATTTGACAATATATTTCTTTTGTTTTTTCACCGAAGATGGAGATTCGCTTGGATTATCAATACGCGTACTCAATTTGGCCATGGTTCTCTTCGCCGGAATAACATTCACTGGCACCTGAGATTTCTCAAGATCAGTGCCCGATTCGATTATCGCCATTCGATCGTTCAGTTTTTTGAAAGTATGCGCGTTTGTGCGAACTGTGAGGTGTGGCATCATCAGATAGAAACGTCCAGCGATATCCTCCAAATCGATAGTATATTCTTCGTTCAGGTCATGAGACTGCGTGTGGGTGTGGGTGTGCACATAAAAGGTTTAGATTCCAAAATTGGACAGGAATGATCATCAGAAAACCCTGACACTTACAATCCACCATTTGTAGTCCTCCAATTTGAGAGGCCCAGTTTTATTCAGAAGTTCACCACGTTGTAAAATGTTTCCGGTAAGTTGCATCCCTTTTTCCGGATGCTTGAAAATCGTCCGGATCTCAAGAAACTCTGGAAATTCAGGTTCCTTCTCCGGATTATCTTGGTTCTCGGGCACCAGCCGAACCAAATCTCCAGGCCTGATCATTTCGGCGCCATACATCAAGGCCTCGTAATGATAATAATTTTTCACGTCAGCAAGCCTTTCTTTCTCCGTTGGATCTTGCACTGCCTTGATTCGCGTGCTACTTTCAACAAGTTTGAAACTTTTCATCGGGGAGTATGTTTGAACGGCCTCGTGCGCACGGTGCACTGCTCTAATGTAATCTTGAATATTTTCATCAATTTTACCGTCGGGCTGATCGATTTGATTTGCTGAAAATAATTAAATTATTTATTTATTATGACTTTCTTTCTTTCTTTCTTTCTATCAATCAATCTTTCTTTCTTTCTGAGGGAACAGAAGAAAAAATGGAAAGGAAATTCAGTATACCCATGATTACACGACTGAAGTAAGAGTCGGGGATTTCAGGACTATAAGCTTTCCAAGGTATCAAACCGGTTCGCCGAAGGGTGACATCGATATTTAAGACCACAAGTTTAACAGTGAATTTCACCTTGTCAACTTCAGGGGCAACTTTTCCCCGAGAGTAAATGACACCCGGCCAATTTTCGATTGAGATCCCATTCTCTTCATTCGATTGTATAACCCTGGCGATCAGGTCGGGCTCGGTGGTTTTTGCGAGGCTAACCCATACTATCTCGCCAGTACGATATTCGGCATATTTCGCCTTCGGACGATCCTCACCAGCATTAATCTGATGTTGTAATGGTTCGGATGATGGTATTTGATTTAACATGCGAGATCTCGAGAGCGTAGATACCGGCTGCTTGGAATTTGATGTCCTAGAGCTGGATGTCGGAATCGTTGACGAATTTCTCTCTACTTTGACAGGTTTCGTATCGGTTTCTGGGATATTCTCCATTATGTTGTCAGGATCGGGTTTGATTTCTATCATTTCATTGGTCTCAGGTATCAACTCCACCGCTTTATCATCTTCCGCTTTGCTGGTTTTAGAATTTGACGGTACCGGACAGTAAACGCATGAGCACGAATGAGATTCTTTGGAAACCAACCATTTCAAATGTGGAGCGAATTCATCCGGCGAACGAAATTTGTGGGCACCTAATTTTTATTCGTGCAAAGTTAGTGCGATACGAATATTTATTAGCAAGTTAGTTAGTTAGTTAGTTAACTTACCGAACAAATAAACATCTGTTGATTTGGTGCCATCGGGATTCATATTTGTATATTCATATAGAAAATACCCCTCGGGAAAATTTAACAGTTTTTCTTGATCTGTGAGTTATCGTGCGTGGCATACAAATAAACGTTGCACATTCATTATTCAATGAGAATTTGATTTTTAATTTATGATCTGTACATTGGCCAGAAGATTTATTTTAGTAGATAACTGAAGTGTACCCTCATTGATAGTATAATCTCCGTTCTCACGCAACCATTGAGCCAAGGATTGACCAAGCTTTTTCAACCACGAGGTGGCTTCTGGCTCTTCATTATCGATCAATCGATAATAGCACGAGGTTAAATCACCATTGGTAGGTTGTATCGAGTCAACACCGTCAGAATTCGTGATCGAAATTCCAATCTTTGTAATGACAACGTTCATCGGTTATCTCTTTGAAAAATGGTGGGCGAAACGAAAATACCATTCAAAAGCTGACTTTTTCAGTCTAAAAGAAAATTTTGACAAGGGAACCTTGTTGAGTGATTCAATTTTATGTTTTTTTTTTTCTTTTTTTTTTTTTTTTTTTTTAAGAAAGCGACTATACCAACAAAATATCCTTGAAAACTATGTATGGCACCGGGAATTTTATCTATAGACCAGAATACCGAAAATATTTGGGATACTTTTTTTAGTCGACAAGAACAAATCGATAAAGACCTTTTTTTAGCTATTTCGTGAATATAGCGCGTGGGCAGAAAACATCAAGGCTTTTTTCACATAACCTTTTTATCTCGAATTGTGTACGTAGAGTATGATGAGTTTTTTGTATTTATGCTATTATGACAATATATTACCCACCAAGATTGTGTAACATTATAACTGCTACGCAATTGGAATCTTGTACCACAGCAATTCACTACACCTGCAAACTACGAAGAAACATTGTAAGGGACATGCCATCCATTTGATCTTCAGGTCCACATCCTTTCTCTAATACCATTGGCTTCCGATATAGTAAATGGATAGGATGATAAAAAGGTTTACGTGAAATAAAAAATGTTTTAGTATCAAATCATCTTCAACGGTCGATACTATTGTTTCTTCGTGATCGTTTTGTCTTATCCACCACGGAGCGAAGGAATTCCGGTTTCCTGTTTTATGAAGGATTTATCATAACAACAATCATAACAGAAAGGGAACTGCACTCCAGGATTCGGTATATGTCAAAAGGTTCTTGTTGACCGGATTATTCCATTTCGCCTTATTTATTTCAACCAATTTTATTACTCTTTATGTTCATTGTACTTTTACTATCTTCATTTATCACATTTCAAATTGTACCTGTAATCATCTTCCAAGTAACACCAATTTTCGGATTTACACTTTGCAGATGTTCTATGATTGATCAATCGATTCAAACAGTTATAATACCAATTGAAAGTTACATTCTCATGAAGAACTCTGTAAAGTCTAACTCCATTTTCAGCAATTTTCCACTTTCATCTGGAGCGGAGTGTTTCATGTCATATTTGTGATTTCATATTTTTTGTTTTTGGCAACATCCTCCTCATTGAGTTTACCTTCATCCGGGTAATCACAAGTTTAATGAATAATTTTATTTCTGTCAGTGTCGTCAGTGTCGTCAGTTTCCATTATTCTGACCAGAGCGCTCCCTTCCGCTGACCGAATAATCTTATAACAATAAATCCGACATCGTTTGTTATTTTATTTTGTTATTTTATTTGTCATTATTTAAAAGGTTGTAATGTTTTCTCACGTGAATGTATTCTACGCAGTAGTCTAAACACGTCATAAATATACTTTATTTTATTCAAAGTTTTTTCATTCCGAATATGGATTTGGATTCGGATGACGACGTCTTCAGACCTCCCATAAAGTATCGTGTGTATAAATCCCCCTCGCCGGTCAAATCTGCTCGAAAATCAAGACAAAAAAAGAAAACAAACAAAGATTCGCCTAAAAAAGTTACCGATCATATGACGCGAATGATCGATGAGTCGACCGAGACGACCACGTCTGTCGCTCGGAAACCCTGCATCATGCAGCCTTCTATGATCATTCCTGAGGAAGTAATTATCAGCACGACGAATTTTGATGGCGATGATAACATAGAAGATAGGCAAAAAACTCCCATGGAAATTGGTATTGATACCAAGAATTTAAAGTCGGAGTGTGCCTCCTCTTGCATTTTCGAGCATTCCAAGCTCGCGATCGACGAAAATCATTCTTCTGATGCAGCGAAATCACCATCACTATTCGAGAAACGACTCAAAAAGAAAAAGATGTTGGCCTACAAACCAAAAGTTAACGATACAAAGAACGTCGCTTTTTTATACAAACCTGTCAGCTTAGTTTCAAATTTTGTTGTCGGCGATGAGACACCCACGCGTAATTCTCATTCAGACAACTTGGAGCAAATGACGACTTTCGCTGACTCCGCACAAAATAAAAGTATAGAAAACGAATTAAATAAAATTGTTGATTTCGATGAAACTTCCGAATCGAACGATAAAAACAAAGCAAAGGAGATTATCATTGACTTGGAGCATGTTGATTTCGCGAATGACCGCAATGAAAACGACACTTTATCTAAAGAAATAAACTCGTTTTTTACATCCCCTCCACGGGTAGGAAATACGCTTACGATTCAAGACGATGATGAGTACACAAGTTTTGGGAATTTTTCGACCTTTAAGTCACTATCCATCCTTGAAGAAAAGATGATCGAAAATGAAAAAAGGAACACCAACGTTTCGTCCATACAAGAACCGAATGTGAAAAAATCGAAATCGCCTAATTTATCGGTGAATAACATGACATTTACTCAAAATTCACCGTTATTTCGTGCGGCATCTGTCTGTCCTTGTTGCCAGAAGAAATTCACTGGCAAGGCCAGGGATACCAAGAGAATGATAAGCCACGTAAAAAAATGTAGTAACAAGTTGGGGTTTTCCGTGACAGATACGTTATCTATGTTGCAAGATATGACGGAAGAGGACGATACAAAGACAGTCAATTGGGCTGTCCATGACCAAATAAAAAGTCCTAGAGCTAATGGTGTGCAGTTGACAGACTATTTTGTCCCAATGCAAAAAGAGAAGAAAATTACAAACTCAAAACCTGATTCACGGCTTTACACATTTTCTTCTCTTGAAGGTGCAGATGTTGACGATGATTTCAAGAGCAATGTGATGATCACGGTGATGTCAACAACTGAAAAGAAAGGAAAAAGAAAAAGGAATGTGGAAGAATCTGATGACGACTTTCGCATTGCCAAGGCTCTATCATTGTCAATGATGAAGCCACGAAATCAGCGACGTAAGAAAATTGCGTATACTTTAGAAACTACTCCAATTCTTCCCCCTGCACAAAGTATAGAAAAGGCTAGAAGGAGAGCTCAACGAATGTTCTTCAACAAATCTGTAATCGATGATATCGCAAAAGAGTGGTCTTTCATTTCCCCATTTGGTCCAAGCAATATTGCGAGGCGATTCGAATGTCGTTTGATCGACTCAGACGCTGATGAAAGAAACAAAATGGCTTCCGGGTCTTGGAGAGAACCGATCTCATTATGGGAAATACAAGCACTTGGCGGACTAGATAACCCTTTGACCGATGATGATTATGTCACCGATATGTTAAGAGAAATAACCCGTTCTTATATAGTAAGAAAAAATTTTCGTTTAGTCGAAATATCCACATATCACTGTTTTCAATCATTATTTTATTTATAACAGCCACCACCAGGAGGGCATCCGCTAGGCCCTTGCTATGTACAACCATTTAGACGAAGGTTTGAAGTATGCAGCCGATGTATCATTAAGTATTGGGGTAGGTTGCCGCCTGAAAATGATCCAGTGCGAAATGATAATGTGACCGAAAGGAATTACTATTATTATCAGTAGTTGTGTTTCGACGATCACGTCACTTCTCATAAACAAAAAATTGTAAAGATTATGATAGAGAAAACAGCTATTCCAAAAAGGGGATTTGCGATATTTAATGGAAGTGACGTAGCTGCATTCTAATATAAACAAATTTAAAATATAAAAAATATCCATCATTTCAAAAACGGGGCAACTTAAATAAGATCAATGTATAACTTATAAAAGTAATGTCGCTTGACATTGTGAACTAAAGTGGTTCGCAGAATAACACATCTTGAAACGTCCAAAGTTTACTTTGGGGTTTTCTTTTTCTTGCCTTCTTTCTTTTCCTGAATAAATTCAATCGAGAGTAAATAATACGCAAAAATAATGCAATTATAAAGTCATCTAATGCATTCCAACGTTTACCTTTGACTTTGATGACTCCACAATTGTTCCTTCGGATTCTTTCTTTTCCGTCTTCGTATCTTCAACCTTCTCATGTGTTGGTGGTTCCTCCGCCTTAGATTTTTTTGATTTCTTTTTTTTCGGTTCTGAGATTCGTTCCTTTTTATCATCGTCTCCCGTTTCCTCGGTTTTGCGTTTCTTTGATGACTTAGCCCCCGATGGTTCGCTTTCTGTTTTGCTCGACGACGCAACAACTTCACTTTTTTTTGTATCCTCACCTACCAATTCCTTGGCTTTGTGTTTCTTTGATTTGACTTTAGATGGTTCACTCTCTGATGGTACTTTTTTTGATGTAACTTCACTTTTTTCCCCTTCCTCTTCTTCGACTTTACGCTTTTTTAATGCCTTTACTTTACTTGACGATGCAACAGCTTCACCTGACTCTTCTGCCAATTTCTTTTCCTTATCGGTCTTCGAACCTTCAGGTGACCCGGTTTCTTTTTTCTCCGATTTCTTTTTCTTTTTTTCTTTCTCCTTTCCTTCTCCAATCTCCTTTTTTTTCTCATCCTCTTTCTCTTTTTTCTCCTCGTTATCCTTCTTCTCCTTATCTTTTTTCTTTTTCTTGTCTTTACCCTTTTCCTTATCTTTAACTTTATCCTTATTTTTAGCTTTTTCATTGTCTTCTTCGTCCTTTTCCTTGTCTTTGCCTTTTTCCTTCTTTTCCTTTCCCTTATCTTTCGACTTCTCCTTTTTCTCTTTTTTCTTCTCTTTTTCTACACTCTCTTCCTCCGATTTTTTCTGAATTTCTGCTTTCACCTCCAATTTATCATCCTTTGATCTTGAAGGGCCAGCTTCGGTTTTCATTTTCTGTTCTCCAGAAACTTTCTTTTCTTTCTTAGGCTTCGTGATCGTCTCGACTTCTGATTCTTCTGTGCTCTCATCTTTCTCATCATCTACTTGCATAAGATTAGATTGTTCGTCATCTTCATCGCTATCATCCTCTTCCTCATCGCTTTCATCCTCATCTTCGTCTACTTGCATAAGATTTGGTTGTTCCTTTTTGTCATCGTCTTCGCCCGATTTTTTTGACTTCACCTTTACCGCGTCTGCGGCTGTATTATATAATGGTGCCGTTCTTTTGAATAAAAATGCAATTGTATTGGAAAGTTAAATAATAATATATTATTATCCTTTTTTCAGAATAGAATTACTTACGAAACAATCTCAACTTTTGCTTGCTTACGATCTTGTTTTCTTTCCTGAACTCCGCCACGTTCCAAAACCCCAATTCGTTTTTCTAGCATTTTTCGACAATTATGTCCCAACTCGGCTGTTATATCCTTTTCTTCGGCCAGAGCGTCATATCGAACCGAAATGGAAGATTTTGTAGCAAGCAATCTTGCAACCTGAATCATAATCATCAATTTCAATATTGTACACAAGGCTGAACTATTAATTATAGACCATATACAATAAACCTACTTTTCCTTTATTCTTTGGTGATGCTTGCCCGACTAAACTAGCATGATAAATCAATCCGTATTTTGGCGTAGGACTTTTCGTCTTCAAGGCTCTGAAAAGTGCCTTTTCGGCACCCAGGATCTGAATGGTACTTGCTGGATGCTTCGCGAGATTTACCAAACTTCCAGCGTGTGAAATAAGCCTAGCTCCAACCAACTCACCGACCAAAGTTGTGAGGTTAGGAGCAATGGCCGTCATACGGTTTTTCAGATATTCATAAAGTTCGGCACGGTACGCGGTCAAACTAATAACTTGATCGCAGCCCATTATAATATTATTTATATCTTCATCCGAGATTTCCGTACCCATTGATACCTCTGCTGCCTCTTTAACTCCCTTTTCTAGATCTTCCGGGAGAATTTCCGATAGATCGGTTTCATGAGCATTGGATCTGAACCCTGAGTAAAATTAATTTAAACTTTAGATAAACATTGCTAAGAATGTATATAGACAATTGATATGTATCAATAACAATGATATAGTAATAATGAATTCAACGCAATAAAACTAACCCATGGTTTTTACGACTTTAGCATATGCTAAATTATCGACCACAATCTTGGACATTTCGGGAAAATGCCAACCATACCACTCCTTAACTCTCATAGCATATGTATTTAATTCCTTATCCAGATCATCTAATAACCCAATTGCTTGAATAATCATTGTGTCCACCTTATCTGGCGAAAATTTAAGTTTATGACGAGACAACGAGTGAGAAAGACCCAATGACATTGAAGCAATATCCGCCGAATCGATTCCAGTGATCAGCGAATCAATTTGTTGACGAATGCCACGGTACAGATCTACAATAATCTTGTCCGAGATGACTTGTATTCCCAATTTTTTACTTATTGTAGCGCCTAATTATGCGAAATTTGATGAAATGACGTGAAGCTCGTTAATGACACTAATAATTTGCTTAATCAAAGCGTACCAAGTTTTTGATCAGCCACAATAAGCTTTTCATTCGCAGCCGAAGTTTGACTAGTTGTTTCTTGAAGGAACTTTGTCAAATCATCTGAAAGCTTTCCTTCTATTAAATCGCTGACAGAGGAAACGGCAGAACTCATGCTTTCGAACTTCTTGAAAGATTTCAATTTGACTCTATTAAAGATAACAAATGCGCCTTCAGAATTAGATAATTCGGACGTAATTTCTATCCGATGAATCTATTCGATACTCCTTGAGCAACTTACACTTCTTTCGCCTTCTCCGGAGTCTCAAACACTTTCCAAAGATCCTCCGGATTTTCTAGCTTTCCCTCATCCAATACCTGAAATAGTGCATATCCGGCCGCCGTCTCAAAAAGAACCAACATTTGTGCACACTGTGTTGTGAAATATCAAGAACCTAGCAATGTACACGAAAGCCCAAGATATCAGATTTTCTCGAAAAATTATCAAAAATTTTTTACCCACCAATCAAAAACGATCTAAAAAATTATCAATATGATGAACGTGAGAAAATAAATTTGACTATTTTAGTAAACACGATATTTAACATATTTAACTACTAACGTTAACATACTTAACATATTAACAATATATTTATAGATTAAAATATTATAGTCAATCTATATTTAAAACTATTATACTAATATAAACCTATAGGTTTAAGAAATAAAAAAATAAACAATTATTTAATTTATTATTTTATTGTTAATCAAGAATATTTAAAATATACTTATTTTGATATTATACAGTGTGTTGCAAAACTTTTTGAAATTTTTTATTTATTTGTTATTCCAAAACTATTGCATAAAAATTAATAAATAATATATCAAAATCAAGCTTAAAATCTAGAGATTATAATAATATAAATTTTATATAAAAATGATTTTTAAAATTTTTTGAAATTAAATTTTCTAAGTATTAAAAATTTTATTAAAATTATTATAATTTTATAAATTTTAATTCAATAACTTTAAAAATTTGTTAATTTAATATATAGATTTTTAAATAAAAAATAAAATTTTATAACTTTGTAAATTTAAATAAAAAAAATTTAAAATTTGGCTAATAATAACAATAAATTATATCTTTTTTATGAAAAAAATTTCAAAAAGTTTTGCAATATACTGTATAGTTTTAAAAAAATATACTTGCATTTGAATAAAATTATCAAAAAAAGAAATTAAAAAATTTTTTTCAAAAAAAATTATAAAGAATCCTGAAAGGTTTTTTTTATTTTTCAAAAGTCAATTTATTGAATTAACTTACTGTATATCTTACTTGATATTCTTATTATTAATATTAATAAATATCTAGTTATAATTTTTTATAAAAACAACAATATTAATACTATTTATATTATCAATTCTACTGTTTATACTTATCTCCCAAAATTTGAAAATCCTTCAAAAATATAATTGATACTAGTATACTTTCAAGAAAATAATTATAAAATTCTCAAATTAATTTCAGTATTCTTTGAAATATACAAAAAAAAACTTAAAAATTACTATACTAAAATAAAAACCAATATATTAAATAATATATTCTTAAAAAATTATTTTTATTAAAAAAAAAACTCTTTCCCACTTCTCTTTCTATGCTTAAAAATTTCTTTTTTAGGAAATTTTTAAGTTGTTTACTTTTTCTTCGTATTTTCATTTCTTTCTTTCTATGCTCCCGACCTATATCTCTTTATTTTTCTTCTCCTATCTTCTCCTCTCTCTTCTATATACTCTTTTTTTTTACTTTTATCCCTTCCTTCCTTTTTCCTCTTTTCTTTTTGCCGAAGCTAGGTTTTTTCCTTTTTCCTGAAGGTTTTTCTTCCTAGGCCTCTCTCTCTTTTGAAAACTCCATTTTCATAATATCACTCCTCTGGCCAGTTGACTTCCTTTTCTCAAGGACCATATTAAGAAGTGATAACCTTTCTTAGGACATGGGCTTTAGAAATTTTTCTTTCTTCCATGGCTCCTCAGAAAAAGAATGGATGGCTTACTCCCTTCAAAAGATCGACATGGTTATCATTACCAAACCTGGCATTGTTTACCAATCGGCGGTTAGACTAGATACACTCAAGAAACCTCTGTACAACTATTATTATCCATAAGTACTCAAGGAGTTGTGCCTCACAATATTTAGAGTAAAATGGCAGTCAATACCAATGTAACTAGCAATAAGTTAGGTTAGTTACAGGTGTCATGGTAGTAATTGGAAAACTTAGTAGGGTAATACGTGACGACCAGGGATTCTAGTTACCCCCGCAACATGAGCTAGTGACAACAACGGAAGTTTCTTGCTCACCCCTCCGATAATATAGGTTTATTGTACAAGGTTAGGTTCCAGCACCATTAAGAAAATCAATAAGAACTCTACCTATAGGTAAAGATGGGTCCTTAAATTAAAGGCAAGGATATAATTCAAATGTCCCACACTATTAAAAAAGTTTTTTTTAAATATAAAATCAAAAAAAAACTATCTACAAAGGTTTTTTGCAATTTAAGACACTTGATTCAAGTGTTTTTTGAATTATGTCCCTATTAAAGTAATGAATAAATAATTATGTCACTTCAAAAGAGACATAATTGATCTGCAAAATTTTATATACTAAATAGTTTAGGGACCCATCCTTACTGTAGTGGAGTCTTTATAAAGTATTGTTGTCACTTTCCCTTTTTTTCTATAGGGTGTATGGTTTGTGTATTTGATGAGATTGGTTGTGAAAAGCTTTAGGCAGAGTAGAGTGTGGTCACTGTTGACTATATCTGTGAAGTCCTCATTAGTGAAGGAGTGTATATTGTTTGAGGTGATATCTGGTGAGGTCCATATATAGTCTATTCTGCTGTAAATAGATCTGCCAATCCAGATTGGGGATGGAAGGTCTGCTTTCCAAGCTTTGTGGATATCTGTGAAAGCCCAGTTATTAAGAAAGTTAAACAGTTCTGCCTCTGGCTTCCATGTGTTAGTAAGTTTGCTATTGTGCGGTCTGTCAATAGCTGGATTGCTCACAGCATTAAAATCTCCCATAAAGATGATCTTGCTTTTGTTTTTGATTTCTGTTGTGATTAGTTGACGTATTTTTTGCTGGAAGATACGGCTTTCCTTTTTGTTGCTGGCAAGTATATTTGGATAATAACTAGTTTGCTTTTTTTAAAGAATAGGTGTGTTGCAATAATGCGACCGTCCCATCTATCTACTTTCCCTACATGTTTAGAGAGGTCTTTTTGAGTTTTAGAGCTACTCCACTTCCATTAGGGTTGGTTTGCGTTGAGCTTGTATAGCATTTGTAGTCTGTGTGATCTTTAAAGACAAAGTGTGCTTTGTTGAGTGGCAGTTTGGTTTTACTAATGCCCAGGATGTCGATTTCTCTTTCTTTTATCTCTGATATCAGACTGTCCTGGTCCAAGGTCAGGTTGATGTTTCTGACATTATGTGTACCTATACTTAGTATAGGCTTGTCTGTTGTGGATTTAGGAAGTGAGTTGTTCTCCAATGTCATATTGGGTTGGAGAAAGTATGAGTATGAGGAGGGGTGTATAGGGCATGTGGATCTGTTCTGTTCTGGAGTGATAATGAGTGGTTGTGACGGATAATCCTGTGATTGGTTGGAGGCGTAATTAGTATTGTTGACAT